TAGATGACATCTTTAGAATTATCCACCATAGCCTTGTGCTTTAAGATACCTGCTTTATCTTTACATTTCTGGAAAGAAGGCTAGAGCAGGGATCTCCAACCTTGGCAAATTTAAGCCTGGAGGACTTCAACTCCCAGAATTCCCCAGCCAGCTTTGCTGCCTCAAAAAGATCTTTGTTGCTGAGTTGATTTCAACCTGCTCTCTCTAGGAAAAGGCTAATGATTTGGCTATACCCATCAGCTCTTTGAATGTCTAACTCCTGCAGGAAGGTGGCTATTCTGTTTCAGCCTCCAGATCAGAGCAAAAAAGGTGGAGAAAAGTCTTTATTCCTAATAGCTAGATTCCCAATTCTTATCATCTAATTCCATAAGGATGGATCACCGGATATCCAAAAGAACAGTCCGATTTCAGTTGCTGTTTGCTTTTCCTTAGAGACCACATGGCATGACTTTATCCTCTTCTCACCGTCTGTTGCTTCTTCTGCCTCAACGGCTGGGCCTGGGAGGGATGATAATGGCTTCGGGAACTGGATGCCTCCGAAAAGGGGCTCCCAAGAGTGGAGAATACAGCTAGGCTGTGAGTAAACAAGAAATGTCAATTAGACAAGTTTCTACATTTACCATTAACCACAACTCTGGGGGAGTGGGCGAGGGAGGAATCTAATTTTTTGGAATCTAGGAGAAAAAAAAATGTCGTGGACATGATAATATGGACCTTTTGGTGAGATTGAATTACATATTGAAATGGTAGAACTGTGGGTGCACCAGACAAATGAAATTGACAGGGTCCAGAGTGTTAAAAACATACACGTCTAGAAAACCAGAACATCAGGAGAAGGATGTCTCTAAACCTTTCTCTCTGGGATGTGCTATCAAATAGACAGGTTTTATATACTGTTGTTTAGGTTTCTAAGAGCATCCAAATTTCCATTTTTAATCCCTGACTTTTGTGTCTTTCTCAGTTAACTGGAAAGACACTAAGCTTCTCCCAAAGGAGACTAGACAATATTGCCAAAAATAAATGTGTCAATGGAAGCAATAGCATCATAGTGTGCCACTCAGTGACAATCTCTGGGAAAGCTGAATGAGTGGATCCAAGCACATCTGTGCCCAGCTTTTCATAGGGTTTTGACTGGATTAGATGGATTGTGGGTAAACTCCAGCATATCTATAGCTGTACTTTACACACTATGGGAAATGAGGCTGCCAAGAATAAAGTGATATAATTCAAAGTTGTTCCTGTCCTCGGTGCATTTAGCAACATGGCATGCAGAGAAAGATTTAGAAATGTCTTCTCCTTCTTGTTTCCAATATACAAAAAAAGATTTAACAGCAGGAACCTTAAAATTACATTCCTTTGGTATACTCAGAGCTCTATTAACTTCAATCTGTGTACAGTAGTTGGATTTACAGAGAAAGTCATATTACGGCATCACCTCGTTTCTTAGATGCAGCTAACTGAACTTATTATACAGGTATTTATTCTGTTCACCTTTGCCACAGTATTCCAAGACAAAAAGTAGGTGCCCACTCTTGTACCTAGAATCCATTGTTTTCCACGACGATATTTGCAGAGAGCTGGTTTAAACCATGCTGGAAATATAATTGCCTGCTGTCCTCATGAAAATGATGTCAGGTTTTCCAAAGTGTGTTCTATGAGCAAACAAACAGAAGAGGACCCAGTAAATAATAATAAATAATAATAAATACTTGGGGCAGAAGACAATTTAATTCTTTTGCCTAGTCTTGCCTTTTGTGGATTTTCAATTTCTCTTTAGTTAGGTCTTGGTAACGATCATGAAGAAGATGCTTAATGCAAAGATGCAGACTCTTTTGTTCTGCTAAGGACTATCCACTATAGAGGAAATATGGTGTGTGTGTGTACACCCACACCCCTCTTAGACTTATATACCGCTTTACAGTGCTTTACACCCCTCTCTAAGTGGTTTACAGGGTCAGCCTATTGCCCCTAACAATTTGGCTTCTCATTTTACCCACCTCGGAAGGATGGAAGGCTGAGTCAACCTTGAGCCTGGTGAGATTTGAACTACCAAATTGCAGATAGTCAGCAGTCAGCAGAAGTAGCCTGCAGCACTGCACTTTAACCACTGTGCCACTGTGGCTCACTGCTGGTTTGTCCTTCAAGGCTGACCCAGGTCTAGCAGTCTCTCCTGCAGGATTCTTACCATTGTTATAAGGGGGGAAAAACAAGGGTTACCTGCCACAAAGTTTCTGCTTTCAGTGCTCCCTCCAAACCACCATCTTGGCAGTTGGAGTTTCTGCTCAACAATGAACATTATATTAAAAAAAAAACATGTTCCTCAAGCCAACCCCATAATCTGAAGAATACATATGAACAGG